GTTGGTATTGCATACCTCACATGATGTGTTTGAATTGATGCTCTTCGGGGCGCCCAAGTCGGTTGCGGCCTGCTAATAGACAAAATCAATGTCTTCGGTGAATAGCGGGTCGGTTGTCTCTCACAGAACTGTTCACGGCATCCCTTTTGAAAAAGTAAGCTTTTAATGCCTTTTGCTTTCCCTTTTTTAATGACCGAATAGTGCATTACATAGTTGGCTGTACATTGTAATTCTAGCTAATCTCGTGCTTAATTCCCCTTTTTTCGTGTTCTTTCTTGGACCTCTAATATGCTACTGCGTTTGGTGGGTTGAACAAAAATAAAACTTGCTGGATCTTTGACATATCCGGTGGACAGTTATGGTACCCTGGTTTCAAGCCAAACGCTTTCATTCTATAATGCAATCGTTGGGGTGTAAATGATCTTACCTACTTTGCACTATTTTAGTGTCTTCCAGGTCAGAGGATACTGAAAGTCTTAATTGTTCGTGGAGTGTCGTTAATGAAGAAGGATATTTTCGGCACTAGTGATCCCTACTGCCGCCTAAGTCTCTACCGCGACGTGCGTCAGGCCATCGCCCTCGGCAGCAGTGTGCGTACATGCACGATTAGACGTAATCTCAACCCTGAATGGAATGAGGAGTTCTACTTTCGTGTCAACCCGGAGAGTAACCGCCTTCTGTTGGAAATATTCGATGAAAATCGCATCACAAGAGATGACTTTCTCGGTCTCGTATCCATTTCCCTTCCCCAAACCGATATCCCGGTTGAGGAGCGAGAAGATTTATCCCGAACTAATGCAAAGCCCTACGTTCTTAAGCCGAGACGGTGCGTTCTTCGCCCTTTTGACCATGTATTTTTAAATGTCATTGCATTGTCTCATTTACAAATTGTTGTTGCTAGGATTAATTTATGCTAGTTTGATTCTCGGCCTTTAGCGAATCGACCGGTTCGCCTTAAGGTAAACAACTTACTCTGGAGGTTGTGAACTACCAAATCGTTAGTAAACTAGACCTACCTTCGTTTCACCTCATCAGTTGAGTTTGGTAGTCACTCAGATGTGATTTACGTGCTCTTTTTGTCTGGGAGTTATGTTATTAAATTTTCATCAAGCAAATGGTTATTTACTTGATCCTCCGGATCAACTAACTTATCTCCGTTGAACTTGTGTCCTTAGATGGCATACGCTATTTTCCAAGTGGTCATCACCTCGCCAGTAAATGTCATCAACTTTTCAATCAGGTGGGAATTTAGGGCTTTCTGATGTGATTTATTTTTAAAAGAATGTTTTAAACTATCATTCTGAGGTGGATGTGCACCCTTACCCTTCAAGGACGTCCAAGGATTGGCGTAATCGACTGTTGTCGGAATTGAAATGGAAATGGAATAAGTGCCTCACATCCGCACGAAAGCCATCCGCTTGCATCCTGCTCCTGCGTCCGTCCGGTAACAATCCATCCCATTAGCGAGTCCCTCAATCCATTCCTCCCAAATTTGTCGATCTACCTTCTTTCATCCACCCACTTCTGTGTCCGCTCGTATACCTCAGGCTACGGCCATATGGCAGCATTGAAGCTACTAGTCACTGACCCAGTACAATCACGGGTTTTCCTTCCTCTTCTGAGTTTGTATCAGTGGAATAACTTGGTCTTGATTATGTCACAATTTTCGGAGAGAAAAGTAGGCTAACGGTTCTACTAGCCAATGTATCCGCTTGCCAGTTCGCCAGGCAGCATCCAGTGAGAAAGTTAAACTAATTAAACCGTCGAATTGGTGTAGATTTTGCCTATTAATCAAGGAAATCCAGTACTTTAAGAGCCGTTTCCTCATCATCCTATATCCATCCCTCTACGCCATAATTCATTCCTGTGTCCATCGTTTTGGCGTGTCCAGAGGGGCAGGGGTGCCCACTATCTCATGCAATTGATATTGTAGGTACAAGGTTTGTGTGTCCATCGAGGGCCTGAGGTCATCTTTAACTTCACATGTACACCGCATATGGGAGGGGGAGAAGAAGACGGGGGGAGGGTGGAGGTCCTACTTTTACAAAGTTGTCACCCGTATGAGCGAATCGAACTTGGTGGCCGCATTACCGGTCGGCCCGCGGGCTACAGACGTGACAGGTGAAAATAAACTATGCATCTGGTCCGTGAAAACGGGCGAGGCTGAGTGTAGATGTGTGCTGATTCCACCTCCGCCAGTGAGAGCACATATTCACGATCTCTAAAGCGTTGGCTCTCGAGACTTGATTCATAAAGACGTCAAGGATGAAGCGACGTTAAGAAGTGGAGTAAAGTGAAATCATTTGTGCTTTCCCTAAAGTCGATCTACTCTTTCGTCCTCTCCAGCGCCCTATCTCGCGTGGAGGGTAAACTGGTGATCGGTCTCTCCTACCTGCCTCCCTCGACCGATATTCGCCTCACCAACATCCCAGACAGTGTGGCTAAACTGCCTCCTTCTTCTAGTCGAGTAAGGGACCTCTTTACTTTTTCTCCTTAGTTTTTTTGATACCTTCACTTCTACCTTCTTCTCCAGCTTTCCCTTCCCAGTACAGTTTTGCTTCCCCTTGGTGGTGTTATGAATCCTTCAACATCGTCTTCCTCCTTTCCTGGCTCTGTTAAATGCTCCAACGAGGTCTCAACCACCACAACTCCTCAATCACCACCACCACCGCCTCCAGGAGTAAATCCTTCAATGCTGATGTCGACCTCCACCATAATGGATGAGAATAATATGGAGGTGGCAGAATCAAATTTGCCCGAGGGCTGGGACGAACGAGTTGACCAGAATGGACGGACGTACTATGTGGATCATATTCACAAACGAACGCAGTGGGATCGACCCATGAGGTGGGATTTTTTGACTGTTAAAATGGCTCCTACCGGGCATGGTACATGGGATCTAAAGTGTTAGCCATAATCTGATTGAATTTTGGTCCAGTTCGTTCTTTGAGTGCTTGTCTGCCATCCCTTGAATGAACTCTGACCCACGTCGTGGATTGGCTTGGAGGTAGTTTCAGGAACGAAGGAGGTTCCATAGCAGGTCCTTAAATGTTCGCTACCCCCTTCAAGCTGGAGTAATATCGCAGTCGTTGGATCTCCTTCTCCTCTTTCAATGCATCCTTTTTTTCCTCCTTTTCTGCCATAGTCGACTTCCTGAAGGTTGGGAGCAAAGAACGGACGTAAATGGTCGAGTCTACTATGTCGATCACATCAATCACAGGACGACTTGGTATAGTCCTTTATTTTCCGTAAGTTACTGGAATGGCATGTTAATTAAGTGGGTGGCGGGGTGGTTTTATGGCAGTCTAATTGTCCCAATCCTGCCGGAAGTGCTTGTAGTCCTGCCTGTCTACCATGACTTCGAACAACTATTGGACCTAGAGAGGTAGAAAAATACCCTCGAAGAGGGCATGGACCATGTTCCGGCTGGAAATTTTGTCCCAAAAGCTTTGCTTATTTACCTCAGCGCATGGAAAGACACTGTTGCTCTCCCTTCCTCCCCCCCCTCCTACTCCTCCATCTGTGCCTGCTGAAAGGGCCCGCCACTAACCGCCACGATTCCTTTAAAAATTACCTTCTACTTTCATTTTGTAAGTAGACAGTCCTTTACCTAGGAAAACGAGGGTTGGATGAATGCTTCCAGTCAAAGCGTCGGTGCTTCCGCCTCCCGAAATGGGGATGAAAATGCGCCTCCCAATGAAGGTTTGTTACAGTTACTTTATTCCTTTGTTTCACGGTTTCATAAAATAAAATTCAGTGAACTAGGGAAGAAATTTCCGAGACTTTCTGCGGGGGTGGGAGGAAGCAACCAGTACCCAGCCATTTCGCTTCTTTTCCCATCTTCATTTATTCGTATGCGAACGTGTTGTTTTGCTGGTGCCAAGGGAAGGCAATCGTTACCAGATTAAATACAGGAGTGGAAGATGAGGGAGTGTCTTTATTCCCTCTCACTGAGGTTTTTTTATGTTTGGAACTACTTTTTCCCATAGATCCCATTCCAGAGGCTTCCACACCTGCAGACGCTTTTTTTGATGACTCAGATGTCATTGAAGATCCGCAACAAATTCGTCAAACCCTTCGCCACGGCGGTCAAACCCTTCTCTCCTCGCATCACAATCAAGGTCGACAGCATTTTTACAATTACAACAGTAAGAAAAAGATCACTACTACCCAACGCTCATTTTAGTAGTCATTATTTTTCAATTTAAGCAGCTGTTTCGTTTTCATCTGAAATGGAAATTTTTTTTACCTTTCTTGAGAAAAAGTACAATTTTATGTAGAAATTGATCTTCTTCACAGCCTTGTCACCGGAACAACAGGTGCAAGCGGCGCAGACAATGTATCTCAGACGACATCAGGTGAGAGTTGAGGACACAACACCCCAAACAGAGTCCCTAGCCGTCGTTGCGGAGGCAAGTGACGCACCTGCCCCCGTCTTAAGTCTTACTGGGGAACGGGATATGGATCCTGAGGTTTGTTGTAGTTCTTTGTCCTAATGGGAACTGTTCTTAGAGAATAGCTTACAAGCGCTTTCTCCCGCGCACACTCTAAACTTCGCTTCTTTTACGGACACCTTTTAGATCCCAAAACCGTCAGCACTGCCCACTGAGTGTGATCAGCCGGAAGGTGAGGTGCAAGGAGTTTGGTTGCTGAGCATTCTCTTCGCCTCTTTATTTAATGTTTTTTTTGGCCAGTGGCGTTCTGATGTTAAATATTCGGTTTTTCCAACGAGTTCGTGCACACGCATCAGCATTCAAGTTTTTTTATCAGTAAAATGCTTGTGCATTTGGGGAGTTAAGTGTAGAAAGTGTTTTTTTTGCTTAATTTATGTAGATTTTCCCAAGTTGGTTGTCTATTGTTTACTTAAACGCTCTCCCTCCCATCAGTTATTCCGGAGACCCCGATTGTCCCCGTACTTATGGCCCCGGCGGCTGGTGGGGAAGCAATCACTCCCGCTACTAGCAGCACCACAATCACCATTGAAAGTCCTCCACCACCATCAGCGGCGGCAGCAGGAGCAGCAACGGCAGTTGTTTCCAACGGTGCGTCGGCAACCGAGAACAGGATCTCGATCGTGTCTCTCGATGACGATCCCCTCCCTCCGGGATGGCAAATGGCTGTCACGGCCAGTGGCCGACGGTTTTTTATTAACCACAACGATCAAACCACCACCTGGGTAGTGGCCTCTACTACTTATTCTACGTTATCAGTAGTGTTTTTACAACTTTGGAATTCCAGTTGCTGCACTCTTACTGACGTGGGTGGCTTTGGTAAATGCAATTTGATTTTCAGAAGGATCCACGGAAACGGGGTGGCGATACCTTGTCGACAAAGCCGGAGTCATCAGTGACGACGTCGGTAATGGCAAAGGCCGCTCAACGCCACGATATGCCAGTGCTGGGCCCACTTCCAGTACGTTGACAGAAAAGTAGACAAAGTAGAACCTCATTGGGGGTAACTGACTGTATGTGAATTGAAGGGCGGTTCTTCATGGTTCTCTGTGACGCTTATCTCCATCCATCTCCATTTAGTGTCTACCAGTCTGTCTTTCATCTCTACTAGACGTCGGCCTTGTGGGAGAGAGAAATGCGCCTGCACACACGCTGAGTTACTGGTTTTCTCCCTTTTAGCCTGGATGGGAGGAACGTGTACACAGTAACGGCCGAATTTTCTACATCAATCACAGTGGGTTCTTTATTACCACTCTGCTAACTCCGAATCCTTTAATCTCCGGTTGCCCACCTTGTTTTTTTTCCTCAACAGATGCCCGGACAACACAATGGGAGGACCCCCGACTGGAACGGCTGGGCGGACCCGCCGTCCCCTATTCCCGCAACTACCGACAAAAATATGAGTACTTCCGCTCGCGTCTTCGTGCACCACGTGATCTCTCGGCCAAATTTGAGATCCGCGTCACACGATCCGGCATTTTTGAGGACTCCTTCCGATTGATTTACTCTGTGAAGAAGCCGGAGATGCTGATGCATAGGTAAGGGAAGGGGCAGTGTCTCGTATAAAACTAAGTTTACTTATAAAGCTATTAGTAGCGTGTATTTTCGGTCAAACTGTTTCTTCTTGGCTTTTCCCTCTCCCTGCCTTCCTTTCAGACTGTGGATCGAGTTTCTCGGAGAAAAGGGGCTGGATTATGGTGGTGTTCAGAGGGAGTGGTTCTTCCTGCTGTCAAGAGAGATGTTCAATCCATACTATGGACTGTTTGAATACTCTGCTGCGTAGGTCCTTGTAACTTTAATAACCCAGCTTTTTCCGTCTTTTATGAGATTTATTTTAATCTAACAATCCTGAAACTGTCGTGAATCTACAAGCGGTTAATTGAAGGGTCAACCAGCCACCTGTTCTAATTTTTTACCTAGGGACAACTACACCCTCCAGATAAATCCCCTCTCCGGTCTAGCCAACGAAAATCACCTTCGGTACTTTAAATTCATCGGCCGAGTATGCGGCATGGCAGTCTATCACGGAAAACTGGTTGATGGCTTTTTTATTCGTCCCTTCTACAAGATGATGCTTGGTCGCAAGATCGGCTTGAAGGACATGGAAGCGGTGGACTCGGAGTACTACCGCAGTTTGAAGTACATTTTAGATGCGGATCCACGGGATTTGGAACTGACCTTCGCTGTTGACGAGGAACACTTCGGAGAGACGGTGGAGGTTGAATTGATCCCCAATGGACGCAGTTGTCTTGTCACAAATGCCAACAAACGCGACTATATTGAGTAAGTGGTGACGCGGTTGTCATTGATTGAAAGGTTTGGAGTAGGCTAAATTTCCCCCATCCACTTCAGGCGCATAATCAACTGGCGATTCGTCTCTCGCGTGGAGCATCAAATGTGCGCCTTTCTGGAGGGCTTCAATGATATCATTCCTCTGGAGACCCTCCAACTCTTCGACGCTAACGAGCTGGAGTTGTTGATGTGCGGTCTGCAGGACATAAATGTCCACGATTGGAAAGCGAACACGTTGTATAAGGGCGAATACCACGCCAACCATCCGGTCATCGTCAACTTCTGGAAGGTGAATTCACCTATGGCTTCCGTGACTATGCAGGGCCTGAAATAACTTGTCTACTTACAATTAAATAAGCAGAAGGTATTTTGTCAGGGCTGTTCGTTAAGGAGTGGATTGTGCTCTCTTTCCCGGGGATCTATCTGTGCGTATCCCACGTATCTGCTCATTTACCTTTTAATCCCCTTGGATCCGCCTATCGACTCATCCACCTTGGTTACGTTTACTCGGCTACACTCCCCCCGTCATTTTCCGTCTTTATCCACCTGAGATGTGTCTGCACGCTCATTTCCTTGCCTCAAAACAACTTTGTTCTGTTGAGACTTTGGTGAGTTTTTTATTCGTCTCTGTAGACGCTCTACACCTTCACCAATGAACTGCGAAGCCGCTTGCTGCAATTTGTCACTGGGACCTCGCGAGTTCCGATGAACGGCTTCGTGGAGTTGTGGGGCTCTGCGGGTCCGCAAAAATTCACCATCGAGAGTTGGGGCTCGCCAAACCAACTGCCTCGTGCTCATACCTGGTGCGTGATGTGCTACTCACACTTGCATTTCAGTAGGTGCTGCGGTTCACTCGCCTTCACTTTTCGTGCGTCGGTAGTCGGGCGGCAGCTTTTGTTTGCCTTGGCCGTGGTATTGATTTTACGGAAGCGAAGACCGCCTTGCTAAACGTGGAATCACAGTTGTTTTTTAAAGGCTGCTAGACGGGCAATTTTGAAATTTTGTGTTTCATAGATTGTTTGTTATTTTGGTGTTCCACTTTAGCTTCAATCGACTGGACCTGCCGCCGTACAGCTCGTTTGATGAGCTTCGTTGCAAGCTGATAATCGCCATTGAGAACGCGGAAGGCTTTGAGGGAGTTGACTGAGCTCCTACGATTTCCGTGTTCTCTCGCGCCCCACCTCCTTCTCGCAAACGCACAATCAATGACACGAACACCACACACACAATTCTTCTGTACACGTCAGTATGTGAAAAACGGATCAACTTTCACCTATTTATTTATTTTATTACTGTCGCTCCTTCCTCCCGCTTCCAGTGACTGATCTCGCCTCCTCTCCCTCTGTCTATCGCCGCCCACTCCCCCCAGTCCTCGCATCTCTCGAATTAATGCACCCAAAATGTGTAGAGTGCTTTCGTTTGTGAAAATAATTCTCTCTTCTTTTCCTATTCTCGACTTTGGGTGGATTTGCTCCACCATTGCATGCAGTGGTTGCGTTTACTGTCGCCGAGGCAAGCAGGACAGTCGAGGTAGCAGGCAACAGATGCCCGCGTGTCCAAATGTAAATACCATGCGACTTCAAGGATAGCATGGCGAGGTGATCAGGCCCTCAATCACTTAGTGGTGAGACAGCGGAATCGCACACACCCTTCAAGGGTGGTCGCGTGGGGCGACAAGACTGCTCTCCGCACTAACCTGTATGGCAGAGCAGTCGAGTTGAAGTCAATGCACGGTGTACCATCCAGATGAAGCAAAATAGCTGCAATTTTCACTTCTTGGAGTTTGTTCTGCTTCTGTGTGAACTGCACAGTTCCCCCATATTCTGTGAGGCAATTTTTGCCTCGGATTCGAGTCAAATTTTACGTAACGTCTCGGGACAGGGAGGCCTACTTATTACTTTTCAGTAGCTAAAAGTGCGACTGCAGTGCATTTGCTTCGCCTGAAGCCTGCCAACCTGGAGGTGCTGCAAGGAGGACCTGTAAGCCTACTGATGGAAGTAATAACTTGGAGAGGCGACACGTCCCAACGATGGAATGGGGAACCGCTGGGGAATGAGGGGCACGCCCTGGATCCCTTACATTTTAAGGGCAAAACAGGACAAACATTACAGTGAGGCGGCATTCCTTCTACCTGTGCGGTCATCGGCACGATCCTATTAGCCACGGCACCTTGCAATTTTCGCAACAGCGGCAATCCCGGTAAGCTGAATCCATGTATGCCGCATTTAAAAATTCACCATTCCAAATGTCTTACCCTATTTGACTCCAAAAGGGCAACTTTTTTCCTTCGTAATGTCTTTCGTTTCCACAAGGAACGGTTAGAATCTCACCCGTGTGTAGTTTTAAGTCACTTTTCAAAAGCCGAGTTTCCACCTATGTGCCATGCTTGATTACAAAGACAAAGTCCTGCGTAGAAAGGAGGAAGGAGTTATAAGTACGGGACGGTTTTTTCTGGGCGTTTGATTCCGCTCCGAGGCCATGATGGCGGACGAGCGATTAACAAGTTATGGAGGCAAACGCGCCCCGGATGCTAAATTGATGCGTGAGGAATTTGAGAACCAAAATCCACCGTTCACCGTCTTTTCTGCACTTGGCTTATCACCTTCACAGTTCGAAGATAGGGCCTAGCGCCGTGTCATTGGGCCGAGTTAGTCGAACTCGTGAAGCCATGAAGATTAAAATATAAAAATACACCTTTTAAACCCTTAAATCTTTAAGTTTAAGCCTTTTTACGTGGTGTTTTTCGGTGTGCAAATAAAAAAACCAAGCCTTTGTTGATTTTGGAGCGTTCACAGACAGTGTCACATATATGTGACGCTGTGGGCTTCTTATGTAATTTCGGCGCCACATAGGTGTGATGCGTCTTCATTTCTACGCTCTGTTGACCAGCCTAGGGCTCTTATCTCGATTATATTTAAAGCATTTCAATTTTCTCCATTTGATGCAAAAACACCGCCAAAAAACGAGCTGATTAAAATTGTTTCAAGAATTTATTTCATCGTATCCTCAAAAAATAGGGCGAAATAAGCAACAATTTTTGCATCAAAGTGATGCAAATTGATGTATATATGTGTGTATTTGTTTGCGCATAAATTTAAACAAACCTTGCAGGTTTAAAATGATTCCACATTTTCACCATTCCACCTCGTCTTTTAAAAGGGTGAAAGAGAAGGACAGCGTAAAAGTAACTCATAACATCAGGATAAAGAAAGCATCCAATTTTGCATTTCGTTCCTTTGTCTTGCATTTTTCAGCACATTTTCTTGTCCTCCTGACTGATGCAAATGAGAGGGCAGCCAATCAAAAATTACTGTACACTGTGCCACTATTGGCAGTTGGTTGATTGATCGGCGGTTAGCCAATCAGAGCGCGTGCGTGAGAGAGAAAGAAGCTGATAGGTAGAACGAGCGAGATGGAGAGTCTAATTACAGGGGATCACAGATTTTGGGACATCAGTTCGTGGCTATGTATAAACCAGTAAAATTATCCAGTTTTTTTGCGATATAACAAATCATTTTTTCGTGCTTGTGTGCGTGTGGAATTAAAAGCATGCTGGAGTGTCTGTTATTGGCGGAAAGGAGGGCAAGGGGGGAAGGTGGGAGTTGGGGAGGGTCAGTAGCAATAATAACGTATGAGGGAAGGAATGGTGAGAGAGAACGGGAGAGGGACTTATTAGTATGGCTTCGAGGCGTCATTTTTGGGACGTTTAAGCTGCACCTTCAGCCTCTTCATGCCGATTTGGAAGCCATTCATGGCCTGAATAGCGGCTAAAGCGTTTGCGGGATTATCAAAACTCACAAAACCTAAAAAGCGGGCGAAAAATAGGGTAAATTTTTACCCACTTGGGTAGGCTGAGTTAAGTAGCTCCCTAGGGGTCTAATAACGCGCATTAACCAACCGGCTGTGATAGGGAGAGGGCAGCTAGGGCACCACCCCCTGACAGCCAATCGGCTTGATCTTTAACCAGCAAACCGACCGATTCATCGAACCGGCCAAATTGCTTATTGGCTGGTCTCTGCCCAAGCTACCAAGCCCCAGAACTAACACGATAACTCAAGAATGGGTGGACTGTCAGCTGTCCAACTGCCAGACAAGAAAGTAAATCATTGAAGGGGAGGGGGAGAGGAAGAACTTACCGAAGCACTTGCTCTGGCTGGTAGCTCTATCGACGTAGACTTTAGCGCTAATGACCGTTCCAAACGGCATAAACATTTGAGCCAGCTCGGGATCGCCAAACTCCTGGGGCAGGTGATAGATGAAGAGGTTGCATCCCTCCGGTCCTTTAAGAAAAAGAAAGCCACCTCACTACTACTACTGGGGCATTTCAGTAGGCTGACTTGTACAAGGAGGTGACCGAGCTCGGTCAGCCAGACAGGAGGAGGAGGAGTTCATTTTTGGACCGAATAAAAAATAACTTTGTACTGCTTAACAACAGCCTACGCAGGGAGACGAACAACAAACAACAAAATGCCCAAGGTATCGCGGCTTTAGTTGGGGACAGAGAGAGAGAGAGAATTGCAATTCATTCCCAGATTTGAGCTTTTTTTTGAAACCGACAGACATTAAGACAAAACACATCACAAGAGGACAAAGAAAAACTGGCGTCTGGTAGACGCAGGTTTTTTGCACGAGCTATGTGGCAGATCACTTAGTTAGCTCTCGTTTTAAATCAACAACACCCAACGAGAAATAGAGAGAGAAAGGGGAAAGGACGTGTTTACCAATGGAAGACGCCATTCCGATCGATATTGCCGTTAAAGGGTCGCCCTGATAAAGTAGGGGAAAATAGTATGCACCAATGCGATTGCAAGGCATAATGGCGTGATGTGATGCCGGAGGGCTTACCGGTGAGAATGAGGTCTCGTGAGCCCTCCTTCTGTTGAACAGGCAAATTGAGGGCCTGTTGGGCCAGTGAGGCAATCTGTGGCAGGGGTGCTGGCGCGCCATGGCCGTAGGGGGCTAAAAATATGCATAAGCCTGTAAGTTTAACCAGGAGTTTTACGCTCATCTCTCCCATCCCCTGGATGACCCCTTGATTACGCCCGAAACCTCCCTAACACATCATGCTTCCGTATTAGGAGTGGGCGAATTACGACTTCAGGAGATAGGGATTTCAAGTTTCGGCCCATTAATTTATGCTTGCTAAGATCAATCGCTAGGCCATAAAACTCACTACTTAAAATCTGTCAGTAGTGGTGTCGAAAAGCATTAAATTAATGGGGGATGGCCCCAACTCTGCCGAATGCCTAATTCCAACAGTACTACTTAATTACACATTTCAGTAGTTAAAAAAGCAGAACTAAAGAATTATTTAGCCTCCCAAGGGTCATTAACCAACCTGCCAGCAGAGAAGTAAATCTGCCAAAGGACAACAATGCTTTGCTTGCCTTTCCACTTAGTTGGGCGACTATTTTACTCCCTGCGGGTTGTAACTTCACTTAGAAATTTGGTTTTACGGTCGTGGGCGTGGCCGTGGCTGCGTAGCCCCTCTTCACGCTGATGTATGGCCTTCCTTACTGCCGATATATGATTTAACGTTGGGCGTTCCCCCTCACTATGCTATTTTGTCAAGCAAGTCCTTCCAGGCGTAAAGCATCCCCCGGGATGTTTTATTTTCTGCCCTCTTTTGCAAAGCGATTTCAACTTTCTGTCAAATGCACTTTTGTTTCACTCTTTATATTCGCTTCTATTTCTAATTCTCTCCCCCCCGCCCGAAAGACGAGTCTATTTGATGAGAATTGAAGAGCTGGGCAGTACCTGTAGCCTTCTTTTCCACTTTCCTTAATTCGTAAGAAGGGAACCCTTTTGACTTTTTTGTGTCAAGTGAGTGGATCTGGGGCTTCAGCGAGAAAGCTGCGGTGAACAACTCCGTACGCGATCCCCAGCACATGCAAAGTGTGATGTAGGGTAGTGTGTAGACTGTTTGGGACAAACCGATGGAATCTTCATTAATCCATGTTGACATGACAGCTTATTATTCAGAACATTGCATTTTTGACAGGCGAATCGATGACCCCCTTGATGGATCCTCTATGGCCCTCTTCTCGGTTAATATGATTTTCAAAGCAATAGTTCAGCACTCACATTAGGTGATTTCAAAAGTTTTTTTGGCACTAAAGACGAAAAATTGCTTTTGAAGTTAATTTAGGATTAACTCAACTTAGAGTGATCCATCAACAAAATCACGTCCGGGTGCACATTCTTTTGCTACCGCACCTTCTTTAAGCAATCAAACATGAAATTAATCTCTACTGCTTTTGAATCGAGGTAGACGTTGTTTACTAATTAGTGAGGCTCAAACGACTCTCATCCTACCTACATTGTGGTGGCGTGGCCTTACTGATCATTTCTGGAACCACTCAGCCTCCTCCACACAGACTTAATTTTTTAAGACTTTGGGCACGACTCGGGGAACTGCATAAGCATCTCATTTAGATCACTCCAAAAAAGAATACTTAAACACGCTTTAGCGGTCTCTAGGAGACAAAAGTAGTGGTTCGTGCCCATTTTTAAATTAAAATAGAATTTTCAGTTACGTCGAGTCAAATTTTGATTTCGTATTTTTCTATCATCTACAAAGATCTCTCAATATTAATTACATTGTGATGGGAGAAATAAACCTTTATTAAGGTCTACTGAAAATCACTTCAGCGTTTTGTTATATAATATGGTTAATTAGTCCTTAGAGCATCAGCCTACAGACACATCCTATAACTTTGTGAAAAAAATAATTTTAATTTGTTCATATAGGTAATCCATTTTGAGAAGTCACAGTGACTTTACTGAGACACCAGAGGATTGCCACCAGGATTGCCACGTCAGCAAGGTCGACTTTCATGAGAAGCAATAAACTCACCCTAATTGCCCTTCCCCAGTGTGACTCATCACCTGGAGAAGAGAAGGGAAAAGCTAGGCGAATGGCTAGTGACGCGCAGTCGTGTCGACCTCTCCTAGTAGCACGTGCATTTTCCTGCATCTATTTCTACCGAAAAGTGTTATTGGACGGTTAGTTTGTCCACCTTGACTTCGAAATCTATCAGCAGCGATTTTTAATTCGTAGTGATAATTAATTAATTTTACACTTCTTCTCGGTTTAAAACTGCGCATTTCGTAATTTTGAAACTAATAAAAAGGATTGTAGACCTACACAATCCGTAATGGGCGTAATTGTGATAGAGATGTGACAGCGGATCTGCAGTTGCCAGGGTTGGAATCGGGGAGGCAAGAGAATTCAAATTTATTGCCGGAGTTGGACCTGCAAGGATTCGAAAAGGACCTAACCGCTTACTTTGCAGTCAATAAGTATTTTAAACAATGCTAATAAATGTTATCCTTAGAATTTAGGCCTTTTACTTTTAATATCTGCAATTTAAGAAACATCTTCTTTAACTTGTTAACAATTTGCACTTTATTTTCCCAAAAAACATTCTTTGACACCTCTTTTTCGAATCACCAAAACAAATTACCATTGAGTCCCGCACCGGCAACTAATGCCGCAGCGGCCAGGGCCATATTATTTTGTTGAGTGGCCGCTAACGCAGCACTAAGTGCGGCCGCGCCACCATTACACAAGTTGATTGGTGGACCAGAAGTCGCCGCTGCTGCTGATTGGTTGGGACTAGCAGCTGCAACTGTGATTGGTGGAGCAGTGTTGACTGCTGCTGCGGCACTGTTTTGGACGTGGCCGCCGACGCCATTCGCATTGTTTCCACCCAGGTGAGTGGCTTGTGGATGGTGCTGATGACTGCTGGCGGTGGCTGGGGGACCATTGGGACCCGCGGGGGACGGGAACAGGGGTAAACCCTGGGCGGGAGTCAGGCCGAGTCCGGTAATTGCCGCGGGGCTGGTAGCGGCGGCCAGCTGCTGAACTTGTTGTAATTGTAGAGCGAGCGCTGCTACCGGGTTGATGTAGCCCGTGGTTTGAGAGAGATTCTAAGTGAAACAAACCTATAAATAAATCCGCTCTGGTATTACTGACAGGACATTTAAGTAGGACGAACCTCGAGGATTTGTGTGTAGGCGGTATTGCCGAGTTGGGACAAGGCGAGCGCCGGGTTAAATACTCCCAAAGGGCCAATCAGCTGTTGAAGCTTCCGTGAATGACGTTCCTTTTCTGTATCAGCGAACTTCACGACAATGCTGGAAGAGGCACCCTAGAAGAGAGGCATGGGAGGGGTGAATTGTTTACACGACAGCTTACTGGCATCGTTTGACTCCCGTGAAGGGCGACAATGGCCGATTGGGCTTCGGCTTGACTAGAGAATTTGACAAAAGCGCAACCTAAAACGGAAAATTGGGGATTGGTTGAAGGGACTACCATGCAGCTCAGGTAGAAAATTCGTCATTCAGCGCACATTCGATTGAGGGCAGCAGACACACCCCTCGCCCTGCATCCCGCTCGCCATGTCACCTTGACAGCCCTTAGTGGTGAAATAAGCAATTTGATTTTGGTGGGTTTCTTGAGCCGGGAAGACATTTTAACTTTTAAGCCGCAAAAGCAACATATCATGCCAAAAAGCGGAACGAAAAAAGAATTTTTTTTCTCAGGCGACTTAAACGCACGTTTAATAATGCAAAAGCCTCTTCCTTCGTTCTAACAAAGTAAATGCTTGTGTGGAAGCCGTTACCCTGAATTAGATTCATTTATTCTCAATTTGGGGATATTTTTATGTTAAAATATGAAATCGACATTTCCAAGGCGGCTTTTTGCTCCAAAAGTTTCACAAGGCAGTTTCTCCCTCATTCGACCAATCAGAAATTGACTTTTCAAGGTCACCTGTCACAGTGTGGAAGAATTGATGAATTTCAGTTGTTAGCCGCGGCATTTGTGTGAGGTCAGCAGGAGGACTCTGTAATTACATTCTTTAATCACCTCAAGGACTTGTTTTGAGGCTGGAAAAAAACCGGATTTTAGGCAGAATTTGTAACAGGAAATTTGTTTTACTGGTGCGTGAATTTCTTCGCGGTCGTCTCGCCAGTCCTCGTGTGTCCACCCATTAGGGCAAGGCGTGTCGGCCCTCGCGCTAAATTAATGTGCCTTTTAGCAGCCTCGGGAAAAACTCAAGGTTCCCCATGTCCCCTCGACCCCATTAAAGTTTATGACAGGTCGCAAAACTAACGCGGCGGGAGTAGGCGGAGACAGGATAATGTTTTCCCCTGCCTTAGAATGCCTGATTAGCCACGTTGGCTTGAAACGACGGCTTTCAAGCATCGCTAGCCTAACTATCACCAGAAAGTAGAAATTTACGCTTCTCTTTAAGCAAACGTCTCCAAAAATGGCCTCGAAGCTAAGTTAATTGCTTTGTCAAAAAACAGTATCACCCTTTTAAACACACCTTATTGATAACCTGGAAGTAATATGGGACAACATTGCTTAAGGGGAACCCTAGTAAGTCGTATCTTTGATTGACTTTACCTCTTTAAAAAATTATTTGTGTTTGTACTTAGAGAGGTGAGTAACCAATCAGAACACACCTAGGTGGAGTCCAGTGGGTCTAAGCGCACACACCCTCAACAACAATCTCCTTGAGAACCAATTTTTTCATGCTAAAACCACCAGGTACTTAAAAAAGAATATTTTGTGAATAAAGTAGTAAATTGGAATTATTTTGGGCAGTTATCAACCACAAACGGCCTACAAATTAAAATTATTGCAACTCGACAAATCACCTTTACTGTTGCCTGCCTGATCCCTCAAAATTGTGCACTCCTCAATCGTCCCGAAGGGTTCAAAAATTCGCCTCACGTCCTCCTCATTCTGTTGTTTGCTCAGCATTCCAACGAAAAGTTTCCTCTCTTCTAAAAGAGATGAGGAGAAAAAAGGAGTTGCAGCAGAGGTGGATTAGAGGGTGTAACCCGCCTACCGTCTTGCGCTTTATCAGCTTTTGTCACTAATGTGCTGGTCTCGGTTTTACCCTCCTCTGTCTTCGCAGAGTCAGTGTCTTTACCGCTGGCACACTTCTTCGCGTTACTTTGAAGCATTGTGCACTTCACGACGACGACAACCAAGGATGAAACAACGACTAGGGCGGACGACGGAACGGATGGCGAGAGGGATGTGGATGGATGAGTGGACGGAGAGCAACGACACGAAGGAGAGGACAACACGTAGGGAAGAGAGAACACAATTACACTAGGCGTAGTCGAGCAGGCAGGCAAGCAGTCATTCTGCGCTCTCCTCTCCCTCCGCCTCCGCCTCCTCCGCCTCCGCCTTCTCCCACCAGCCCACCAATCAGCACGCGCGTTGAAATCGATGGGCAGAGTAGACCTGCCAAATGCAACGGCTACTTCTGCCAGGCAGTGCGTACGTGCGTGCGTGTGTGCGGGCGTGAGTTTCGCTCAGCTACGGTTTCTGCCGTCTGTAGCAACGGCGCGATCGATAGACGCAGGTGGATGCGGACGCGTGCCAACACGCACCTTCGCACCCTATCGATCGAGGGCTATTCTAAGCAGGAGTGAACGTGCGCACACGCACGCACGCACGGGAGCGTATTCTTCGAGTTACGTGGACTGGCGGTGGGAAGGTGGGCGCATTCGGGGATATTTTTAGCCTCAAGATTAATCTTATTTGAGAAAATGGTGAAACAGACGTGAGCAGAGTGCTGCTAATTCTGACGGAAAAGCGTTGTAATCCAAAAATAGCGGGTAATTATTGGATGGTACTATGATAGCCGAGTCGATGGAAATCCCTCCATTGAAAGATGTTTTCTGCAACGGATTGGACTCAGTTTAACCAAAAATTGAGCATTTTTTGGGAAATGGGCTAATGCTGTTTGGAAGGAGACTTTTTCCACTATGGCGCTGAATAAACATGACTGCTCAGTGTTTGGGAGACTGGAGGAGGCAGTTTTACCCAGAGAAGCGAAATTAAATCTTGACATCCATAGAAGAGCAAAGGCCTTCTTGGGGCCGCTTTGCTAGGAATTTGGGCTGTGGTTGCGCAGGTTTACTTGGGGCTAATTAACCGAGACTCGGTGTAGGTGGAGGCACAGATCAAAGTGTTTAGCGGGGAACCCACACGTTGACTCCAACTTAACAGGAGAATGAAAAAAAAAAACACATATTGATGTGCTTCTAAAGTGTTAAGAATTTTTCAGATTGTGATCAAATAAGCTCATTTATCTCCATTTTCTACCTTCTGGGATGCCTTTCCCTAGTTATTTTTAAAAAAAAACTTAAATGGTACTATGTAAGTGGGACGGAAAAGGAAGTTTATCCTTACATCTTGTAGTTGATAGGTGGTAACAAAGCTACACCGTCATCGCCTCTTCGTAAAAGAGCACAGGTGAAGCAGCATGCCACCGGTCACGGCGAATTGACGCTTAAGGCGTCTGAGTATTTCTAGGAGTTGTAAGGCATGATGGCGATTTCTTATAGAAAACTTTTCCCATTTTGTTTAAGAAAAAATTACTAGTTTTGTCTATAAAATAAAAAAAAGACTCACCAGTACATCTTAGAGCAAGTCAGCATATGATAATGTTGATGCCTAGATTTCGCCAAATTAAATGCAAAACAAAATATTTTTTAATCTATTGCAATAGAATATTCTTGATTGTGCGGGTGACCTGAAACATGTGATGTTGACTTAGATCAGTTACTATCAGACATTTGTTCTCTATGCAAGAGAGCTTGTCACAAGGTACGTGCTTTGACGCAATCAAATGTTGCCTCGCTCTCTACGAAGCTATCTTGCAGACCCACTTAAACCAGTCGGAAAGTTGGGCGAGCACTAGAGCCGAATTTATGCCCACAAGATCTCCTTACTCCAAAAGAGTAGCCAACGCTAATTGATCACGAAGCATTCAAATTACGCAGCAGCTACAAACCCGACTTTATCGCTGATTTTGGGGGAAGCAAATTAGGCGAAGCATCAGGAACATACCAACCCATAATAAACTTTGCTACTGAATATTGGCGAGTAGATGATTTGTTTGAAAGGAAATCACAAATGGAGTACTCTTGTACCTTCCGCCCACGCATTTCCTGTAGGTCACATGAGGGGAGGGGAGGGGAGAAGAGAAGGAGTTGGAGCTAAATTTAGGCTAGCCTTAATCATTTATTTAAATCACAGCAACTATAGAGCTATTCTGGTAACCCAAGCAAATTTTTATTTGCTTATTTCTCTGATAACATTTTTTGTATAACCATAAACAGGGGGAAGACAGAAAGTGGAAATTTTGGCTTCGCCTTGTGCTGATAGAGGGGGGGGGAGGAAGATCGGGGAATAGACTGACGAAAAGGCGACAAAATGATTTGCAATAAAAAGCCGCCTTATGAATGAGATAACGTCTTTAAGGAAATTTAAGGTAAAATTTAGGAATGAGATGAAAATTTTTTTTTAAATGAACTAAAGTAATTTTTCCCCCTGGGTTAAAAATATCAATCTACCCATTCGAAAAAAAGAAACTACGAGGAGGATGAAGATTTTTAATATTTAGTTTTTTCCCTGAAAGAGAGAGATCATTAACTTATTTTGAGGTTACCAGTGAGTGTAGAGGAGGAAAAGGAGGAGGCAGGTGGGGTCTGGACTGTGCCACCCATAATTTTGACAGGGTTTAGTCGCATCAGTCGTCACGAGGACTTGGTCATCCATCAGAAGGCCCAAGGGTGAAAACAGCTTAGCTGGAAATGAGAGAGATCTGCCCGTGAGATTTTGGTAAAGGGAATATGGGTTGGAAGGTCCAAGAGGGTGATTTTGCGAACAACTACGATCCAAGGACTCCAACTATGTTGGAATAGAAATAGCCTGTTCAAATAGAAATGCTTTGTGCTTCCCGTCCGTCTGTCCGTCCATCCATTTATCTCGTTATCATCTACAAGCCGCATCCCTCTCTCTGTGGAAAAGACTATCTTCTTGCTGCAAAGGACAGTTTATGTTCTTATTCCTTCCCCTTTCTTTTACTACTGATGTGGAGCCCTCCAACGCAAGTATTTAATAGACCCAGATCATAAAGCCTATTTTTGTCATTTTTGAACGCAAGTATTTCCATTTGCGTTACAAACCCGCAGGTCTATCTAAATTAGGCACAAAAGATCCCTTTTAACTTTTGTAAACAACTAGTGTGTGCAGTTTTGGGGGAGAGAGAAGTAGATGTCGACTTCAGAGAGTCTCACTCCCTTGTTTTTCAAAAATAGGCCTCTCTTTTCCCAACTTTGATACATTTTGTCAGTTGAAAATGACAAGTTCGCATACACCCCAGTCGTTTCTCACAACATAACAAAACCACATTTTCCCAGAATAAGAGCAAAGTAAATGGTTTGTACGAATATAGCGAGCTGCATGGGCTATAAATGTTTATCATATCGGGCCAAAGGGGCTGCCTTGTGGTAAAGACTAGCCTTTATTTATGAAGGAGTAGGAACACACACACACACACACACACAAAAGGATGAACTTTTGTGATCATGGCAACTAGCAATCAAGTGAAGTTCGCCTCCTGAGGAAAATGACGCTTTTTAAAATTCCATATTGTAGTAAATCACTTACTGAGGACATATATAACGACTCATTGGGCGGTTGATCATCGAAAATGACAGTTGCCTATTTAGGAAAATTCTCTAACATTCCGAACTTTTACAAAACGCATATTTCAAACTATAATTCATGAAGTAAGAAGGCGTAAACAACTCTAATTCATTTCTCTTAGCAAAAATAGACTGTGTGAGAGAGAGAAGGAGGGAGCGATTTGAGTACAAAAAGATCACTAAATCTATTGTTTACAGACAATGCATAAAACACTAATGTCTAGAAAAATCAGTTAGCTTTATTTCAAAATTGACAATGGTTTAGTGGCGAGTTTATAAGCTAAAAGGCGCAAAACTTTTGGCTCCGAAACTTTAATCCCTTCACCACTGATGATGGCGTCAATTGTGTTAAGAAAAATCGACCAATTTTGTCAAACGCAGTTAGCACACGGTTGCATGTAAAGGCGACCGACGAGGTGGACGCGGAGGCGTTGGTGCGTGTATGTGGGGGATAATTATAGAAACCCTTACAGCCAATGGCAGATAGTAATAATGTTTGCCTTTTGTGTATACTAGAAGGCGTGCGCGTCCGAGTGCGTGTGTGCCTACGCCATTTACCGGCAATTTGGGCGACGACTTCTTGATCGAAAAAAAAGGAGGCTAAATGCGCAATTCAACATGCTTGACTTGCACAGGAATAATCCTGAAAGTAAAGGCATTTTGTTCTTGCATTATATCTTAATTTACTTGAAGTACGAGTTTGCTACTAAATGCCAGAATGATATTTGTGAATGTAATTGTTTACTCTTATATGTATACAGTCGTTTGTCAAATATTGCAAAATAAACATTTGCATTAGTGTTTGTTTCATTTCGTTTAATAGCTTAATTTTAATAAGAGCCCTAATTAAAAGTTGCCAATAATATTATTATTTGTTTGAATGGGTCAACATCGTATATTGTCTCGCCTAGACACGCACCCCGCGCGTTTTAGTGATCGATTTCACGGGATCGATAGCAAATGACTAGGCTGGTGAAAAAACGGCTATCTTACAGAGCTTCTGCAGTCGATAAAATAAAAATAAAGGGTAGCGAAATAAAGATGTGGGAAAAATTTTTTCATAATTTGTTGATGGCCTTGCGGTTGGCCATAAAACGGCGTGCAAGTCCCCGCGGATAGCTAATGGATTCACGGAGAATGTGGGGGGGGAAGAGGATGAACGTATGTGGGGGTGGATGGTGAGGGATTTTTATATCGGTAAGGGGTTTGTCCTCAAACTAAATACTGCGGGAGTGCATTAAAACCATTGAGGAATAAAACTACAAAAATTTGAGCGCATTTTGTGGTTGAGTAAAGCTGGCATAACTGACTGGTGGTGGCGACTTGGCCTCTCCCTTCCTTCCCCGCAAGTTAGTCTACACGTCTGGAGGCTAATTAAAGGTGGGAATTCGTTGAAGGGGGCTTTTGCTTCTCTCTGGCGCCGATGAAGAGAAGGAGGAGTAATGAATGCAGTCTAATTAATCAATCCTTTGTTTTGAGGTCATTGTAGGTCTCAATAAAAAAGAAGTTTAAGGTGGAGGAGAAGAATGGACTTAGCGAGGTCAATGAGGTGCTAGTCAACTCAATCAAGCATTCCATTATGTGCAGAGGGGTGCCGCATTTTGCTCCCACTTGACTATCAGCTAACCAGTTTTTTGTTTCAGGAGGGTAAGGGCCCTTTCCCCTCCCTCAAAGAACCCGCTGGTACGGTAGTAGTGGGGGAGGAGGGGACAGGAGGGGTTAATATTGGCAAAAAGGACTGACAGAGGAGGTGGTAGAATCGCCTACATTTAAAAGACCTAATCCAGTGACCTTGGGATGTCAATACGCGTTTGCCAGATTGAACAGGTAAGCAGGACTTACCGGACTTGCGTTCGCAGTCCGCCGCCTTCACCTGTAGGGGTCGAGCCATCTTAAATGCAAATAAAAAAGTGAAAGAGTAAAATAACTTAAAGGTTATTTCGGAAGCAAAAGGAACTTCGCTATAGGTTAAAAAATTTGGTAAACATGCCAAGAAGAGGTCCAAGAAGTCGCGTCACTACTTCCCCACACCACCACCCTTCTCAAAGCGGAAAGTATTACGATTCCAAAACGAAAGGAGAATTTTTTTACGAATCTGTGAAGCTAGCTAGTAATATCACTGCATTTAAAATGGTTGCCACTGGCAACACCAGAGAGTCATCCAATTTTATTCGTTAGAGACTTTTCATTGTAGAGAATCGCAGACTTTTCTTTCTTCAAAGTAAGTTGAAGAGAAGAAGAGTGAATTGTCAAGGAGGGTTTCAAGGGCATTCGCAGGACTTAAATCACTTGATTATTTTCTAGTCGAAGGTGGGCCGAATTCCAAAATCCAATTTTCTCGAGAAGCACCTGAAAGGCACCGCAGAACCACCGCTTCCAAAGGCGACACCAATACTGAGGTGAGGAGTCGTCAGCATCGTAGACACCCCAAAGATGGCTTCGACACACTCCCAACCAGTTATTTTACCAACCTCTGCTTTTTGTTTTACTTCAATCACACAAACGGCGGCAAATTTTGTGCTTGATGGGCTAGATAAGGGCTAGGGCGGCGGGGGGGCTCTAGGGGCAGGGGATAGAGGTTACCCCAAATTCCCCTCTAATCTCACATGCCATGTAACGAAACGAAGGGAGAGAGCAAAAGACTCATCCATATTTTTCCACACAATGCAAAATCACACAGTTTATTTTAAGTGACACCACACGGGAAAGCGGGGGAGTCAAACACAAATTTAAATGCAGTCAGTAAGGCAAAAATAATCGGTAATTGACAGCGACAACTCACGCCTGGAAGGATCTTCTTCTCGTGCAACGTCTCCTGACATCGTACTGCGGAGTCTCGTTTGCAAAAAGTGATGAATGCACAGCCTGTGGAGGAGAAAGTAAAGGTGATTTGGCATTTGTGGTTGCATTATAGTCAGGCGGTGACAAGTGACAGGCTTTAGGACAGATGCAGGAAGGTAGGATTGAATGACAGGGGGATTTAAGCAAGAAAGGAAGCTTACAAAAGGGTGGGGTAGGCCAATCACGAGATGGTTGAATTCATGGATGACTTGGAAATCAGACGAGAGTACCTCCAGGACTGACGCATCCTGGACCTCGAAATGAATGGATGATTTGATGGAAGACGTCTTTCACCCCATGGTAAGACTGATCTTTGCCTGCCTTAAATACGTGCAGATGGGAATGTGGAGGTGTGGCCAAAAGAAGACGACTCAACTGCCAAAGGTGTGTCTATTGTTTGACTTGCTCACGCACCATAAAAAATGTTATTTTTTCCTCCTCCTTTTCCTCCTTATCATATTTCATACAATTACATCGCCACTTCTCAACAAAAATTGCTGTACTGTGGAAGGACTTAACTTGCATACTCATGTTTTAGTGTTGAGAATGGAAGCAACGTCTGTCTGGTTTTTAAAATGAATGCTGAAAAATTTATGCAAGCAAAATTGTCCGCCCTTTAGCCTCCGCCACTACCTCTACCACCTCTTCTGAGACAATAATGTTGGGAGAAATCAGGATTATTTAGAATTTCATAGAAGTGGTGGGGTGATTACGAATAACGCCCCCGAATCAATCATTACTGGAGACTGGTCCATAATTATTGGCTTTTGGGCAACCAATAGGAAAACGCTGTTTATTTTTAGCAAGTTAATTCCAAAAAAAAAAATAATTTTAACATTTTTAAATAATGTTTACCCGCAGCAGCAACAGCCTTTGTACCCGCATTTAACTGAGGTGAATGGCAGTAGCACCTATTCGCATTTTCAAACCGGATGTTTAAAAGATTTACAAAACTGGTGGCGTAGGTTTATTTTTATAAAAATCCGCCCTTTAGTCTTTTCCTCCACTACCTGTACGAGTGGGGAAAAAAGTTAAAAAAATCAAGATTTTTTCGGTATTTAAATAAATTAGTAAGATGGCCATTAACAGCACACCAACTTAATCAATACTTGCGATTGGTCCGAAATTATTGATTTTGGGCAACCAATATAAAGACAGCAATTATTTTTGGCTTTAAAACCTAAAAGATAGACTTTGTTTTTTTTAAATATTTTTTTACTAATCGAACAAGTCCTAAGTCTTTTATTTCATTAGAAAATCTGCAGCAGGGGTTGCTGTGTGAACGTACTTGTCACAGCGAACAGAGCACAACAGCAGCAATAATAATAATAAAGAGGGAGTAAAGCAGCTCTTCATCCCCTATACGCTAAATTTGCGAGAAATGCTATCGTCTTGTCGTTTCTTTCACCTTTTTTTTACAAGAGAAGGAAGAAAAGCATGGTGAAGGAGGGGGAAATCAAATGGCGCATTCTGTTTCGCCATTGGTTAGATTGTGACTATAGTGTCAAGGGATTAGCTGGACCAAAAATGAGAAACGACAAGGTATCAGGGATGTCTGGCGGTTGTTGGTGAAATTTGATAAAGGTATACTTTGTTATTTGTCTTGGGGAACCCTCTCGAAAATTCCGAGTCAATGACTTACAGAATGAGTCTGCACATCCAACTATTTACCTTGTATCCATCCATCCATCTCGCATCCACCTATCCATCCATCCCCCCGTCCGCCATTCCATCTTGCAGCTATCCCTTATAAATTCATATATCTATCCATCCCTCCGCCCCTCAATCCATTCCCCATCTGTCCATCCATCCGTCCATCCCTCCTTCAACTCATCCATCTATCCATCCATTCCACATTCATTTTTTTCAATCCCCCCCTTGCCTGTCCGTCAATCCGCCCAATAATTCCAGACATGTCAACATTACTCTCTTGTTGCCGCAAGTGTAAAGTGGTAGAGCTTTGTTATTGAACAGCTTAATGTCTTTTATTACAAATAGCCAGAAAATCATCTTTTTTTATGGTTGCAGACACTTGGCGTCGAGTGTCAGGGATAACGGTTTCCCACCCCCCAACTGGCACTACCGTTGACAGTGATTGTTGTTGACTGTTTGAATTACGCAACCAACGCAGCGGGCAAATGGGTGCGAGAAGAGTTGAGGCCTTCACGACTCGTACTGCTGTCTTCGGCTCTCTAATACGTGATTCTTAGCCTTGTCGCATTGCTAGGCAACAGGTCCAGCTCAGTAGAGTAAATCCCAATCATCTCGGTCAAGACAAAAAGACCTTTGTTGTTTTGCTTTTTACTTACTACTTATTGGAAGGGAGTTATTCAGTAGTATTGGTGACAAAAAGGTTAAGTCTGTCTCTAGTCGTAATTACAGAGGAAGGTTTTCTAGAGGAGTTAAAGAGGACGCCTTAAGCTACCTAAAACCCCACCGATGAAGTTTCTATACCTCAGCCAATCGAGTTAGTTTTATAGCTCAACGGCTTGGCTGTTCCTGTGGGGGTATTAAATAAACCACAAATCCGATTTTATTATCCAATGACCTTAAAGGGGATTGGTTCACCTAAATAAGGTCAAAGTTAGCCTCTTTTCCGCTGAATTTTGTCTAAAATCCTAGTTAATGTCCTGTCTAGCAGTTAACCAATTTCCACTGCGAAAGGCGGATTCCACTCCCGTAAGGAAGGTCATTTAAACTCCCACTGGTGGCCGGAATTGGGGCATAACTACCGCAGAGAAGTCTTTCCACCCGTCACTACTCGACAGGATTAAATTGCGTATTTTGAGGTGCTTCAAAGAAGAGCCATAAATTTGGATTAAATGATATGTGGGTACATACTACTTAAATAGGTGTTTTAGCCTACTTAAATACGTCAAGTTTCCGGTAAACTATAGGACACTTTCAATCGTCTCAAGAAAGGGTTAAAACATGGTCTGGTTCATTAATCTCTTTAGCGTTTTGGCACCCACATACAAAAGAATAAATATTCCTCCGGTTTAAAATAGACAACTAATTTTTTTTCCTTCTCTCACCCTCTTTCCACTCATTTTTAAATAAGTCAGGCTAATTAGATCGCGGTGAAATGGCCGAGGTCACGTTACAGCCCATGTAAGCGGCACGGCTGCAGAGCAAATGCGCCAGTAGGTTGGGCGCAAAGCCATTTTTTACCATGGTTTAAAAAAAGGACCTCGTGCCCTCCCCTTTTTTGTGATGGGAAATTTGATCTGATTGAAAAGTTCACATTACACATAAAAATGAGGGAAAATATTAAACCAGAGGGTTAACACTCGCCTGTGGGATTAGTTTACCAAAATCTGGCGGGTAAATTAATGCAGAGCTCTCTGGTATTGCTGAGTGAGTCGGTTGTCATGAGGACTTGGTTAAATTGGACCGTTTAGGCGACATGGGGTCAGTTTGTGCCAACCATGTGAGTGAATGAGCGAGGGAACGAGTGCTCGATCCTCCTTAAACTTTACCAACCTCCACCTCCTATCCAATCTTCCCTTGTCAGAGGCTGAGAAACCACACAGGGAGAAGAGGAGCCGGGAATGAGGCACACTGACCTCCATCAAATGTGTACTACACCACTTTCAACCGTGAATTATTGTTTGAGCTTTTTTAGCCAAAAATAGCTCCTTAGCACCTAAATGCTATGCTCTCTGCCTCGCCCTTACCCGAATCCACAAAGGTTTGATAACGTCGGAGTACTTAAGAGCGATGGTTGCAGATAACATCGCGGTTGCATCTCTATGCCATCTTTACCCCTTTGGATTAGCAAAAAAGCACACGCAAAAGTTCAAGTACCTCCAGAATGCTCCTCTGGCTTAAAAATAGCTTGTTAAACATATTATTAGTCAAAGATAGGGGTGGAAGCGGTGGCTCGTACCAGACGTGGAGGGCAGTCAGCTATCCTCCACCCAATTTATCTACGGCCCCAGTGATTTTGAGGGGTAGGGAAGTGTCGCTGGGCGGGGGAGGGAAGGTGAGGGGAACGGAGGGTGGCAAAACTCCTGTTTGTATGTCTGATGCTTCTTCCAATACTACTTTTGAGTTTGGGACACGCCGCATCGAAAAAATTGTACAGCCAACCCTGCGATGAAGTGAATAATCTGTCACTTTTCCGTCGTAAATCCTATCAAACGACATGTCCGTCAAACCGGGGAGGGGAGGGGAGGGAATTCTAACGCCACGTCTAAGGGAACTGATGAAAGTTTTCCAAAGAAATTGTTGCAGAGTCGTGAAAAGAAACCCAGAAATTCATTAATAAAGGCCACCGACGCAGAACCGAGGCTAAATATGGATCAGAGGTGCAACTCCCTCCTGCTCCTGTCCTTTTAACGGCTTCCCGCCCTCTCGACATAGTCTACCCTTCCTCCTCAAAACACCCCATACCCTTCCAAGGATAAGTAAAACCCAAATGGACGTAAAGGGTCTCTAAAGGTGCAACATCTAGGTAATATCCGCAGGAAATAGAGTGAAATTTATGTCTCTGCCTCGTCAAGCGGTTTCGTCATATTTCTTTAAGAGATGTGAAAAGGGTGGGGTAGGAGATTAAGGACTATGCATTAGACAAAATGCATGCGAAGAGGACGACTTACCTTTGTGAATGCCAGTCAGCTTGTCCCTTAATACGAGGATGTCAGAAATGGGTCCAAATTCCTCAAAGATAGGTCTTATGTCCGCCTCATTCATAAATCGTGGGATCTGACCAATGAACAACTTCAGGGCGTTCACACCGCCTACAGGTGTGGTAGGTGTTGCCGTGGCCGAGATCGAAGTTGTCGTAGCTAATCCTCCGCGTCGTTCATTCGACGAGGGTGTGGTGGAAGAGGAGTCAGTGGAGTAGGCCCCAACTCGAGAGGAACAGGAGGAGGTTGAGTGAGATGTCTCTCGCATGTCAACACCACTGTCCATCAGCCTATTCAACCGTCGTCGTGGAGCACGGGGAGAAGTTGCCTGCTGCACCACGCACCACAGTCGATGGTGATGATGTTGCTGCTAGTGCTGCTCATCTTTCAGCTGTTTATGCTCCCAACTTGCTGATTGGCTGATAAGTGGGGAGAACGAGGAGGGAAGGTGAGGTGAGCACACGCGCGCATGCAGGAGAACGCAATAACGCGTTTTCGGTTGCGTGTGTGTGTGTGTGTGTGTGTACTTTTGTAGCTCATAGAAATAATTAGTGGGTTTTAAAGTGGCAATTAAATGGCCTTCGTAAAGTAGACTTTATCATGCGTGCATTGAATCATCGGACGAGTGGAGGGGCACCGAATGGACCGATGGATGTACGAAAAAATCAATGAAAGGAAGTGAAGGTGGATAGAGGAATGGTTGGTTGGACAGATGGATGGAATCTGGACGCGCGAAAGAATAAATGGTGGGGTGAAGAGATTTCCTAACCCTCTGATTAGATGGAAGGTTCCACATTTCTTCCTCCTCCTCAAGACTAAATCCACTACCAAATTTGTGGCTACTGTGGCACCACTTAAGACACAAACCTGATAAAGGCGTCAAAAGTGACTGCTGTGGCTGTTTCACGCCCTTCAGGGAAGAGACCTGACTTTATTCACAACGTCAGGCCTTCCTTGAATCACTGATGAAAGAAGACCGCCTTTCGAATCGCCTTAGACGTGGCCTGGTGGAAGAGGGGGACGAAGGTGATAGACAGCCCTAAAAGAAAAAGAACAAATCTACACCTCATTTGACTAAAAGAAGTACCCTATATTGAGCCTACAGGGATTGGTAGATTGTTCGTTGTTTGGTGGATTCCAATTAGGGTATTCAGAGTGAAGCTAATTAAATGCTTCCCAGGAGGAGAAAAATTCACTAATTACTTGGAGACAAAATAGGGAAACGAGGCTGCCTTACCTATTAATCAATCTTCTTCTGGCTCTATGTCCACCCACGCACGTAGAGACACGAAATTTAAAAGTCAACCGTTCTGTGGTACGAGCAATTAGAGGGCAAATAAGTTGTCGGGTAGAACTTCACCCACTACCTATACCTTAAGTGGAGTGGAGGTGGAACAACTTACTGCCCAAATTGCTTAACGTCAAGGGGTTTAAGGTGATGGCGAATGCAGCTTTCTGGGAAGATGTATTGTTGAGATTTTGGGGTTGATTTCAAACCATTTATACAGTTCGGCTCCATCCATCCACCTAGTATCAATCCGGTGTCCATCCATCCATCCATCAAACTATTCACTAGATATCCGTCCGTCCACTTGTCCATCAAACCATTTATTCATTCCTTCACCAACCCGATATCCTTCCTTTTATACATCCATCCATCCCGTATCCATCCATCTGTCTATTTCTCCATTCCAAATGCACCCACTCCTCTATCTCTGGGCCCTTCCCTCTGGTATTTATTTTTTCTGAAATCATACCTGTAATACTAGTGAAACACCCTAATTTTTTAACATGTTCAACCTTTTTTCCGGAATTCCATTTTATTGGAAACATATCCTAATAGAGCAAAATTTGTTTCTTTCCCCTTAAACATGGTCATCCTCTAGACACAATAACTGCCTTTAATAGACACTGCAGAAAAGTAAATAATTTGTTTTCCCACCTTGCTCTCCATGTTGGTGTTCCAGTAGCATCTCCTCCACCAGATTGACGTGCTTCCTGTCTACCTGTCATTCAGACAACAATGGAAGACCACCTTGAGCTTCTCGTGGTTATTACTATCGCCGATGGAGGGAGAAGAGTTAGGGAATATTTACCTCTCAAAGTGCTCGTGCCATACAACACAACAACTCGGCAGACAGACAAGTGTAATAAGACAAGAGAAGTTCGTTTTTCCCTAAACTAATAAAAAAGTGCCAGCTTAATGAATTATTCATCAAAATTTACTATCCTCAAGAGTAAAATAGCCTACTTTTTCTGTCTTCTACTCAATCCAATCTTGAAGTAAAAATGTGAGTAAAAAATTCTCTTCAAAGTGGCAAGTGCTTTTATTTTTAGCCAAGCCGGTTGATGCATTCATTATTCAAGCGTTATAAATCTTCACAGATGTGGCCACAATTTACAGAGCAATTAATAATTTACCAGCACATTTAACCCTTCAAATTGTCAAGTACGTTGGAAAGCAAGAACCCATCCGAATTGTGCAGATATGTTTCTAATTTTAGTCATTTAGTAGAGTTGTATTAAACATTAAATAGGTTGCAGAACGAGTCAAGCATATTATTCAATAGTAAATACATAATCTTCATAAAAAAGGACTTACCTTCAATATTTGCATTCTTCATCTGCAGTTGAGTTAAATTTCGTACGGTTACATTTATCGATTATACCATCAATTTGATTGGCTTACGCAGGCAAGGTAAAATCGATCCATATTTTTTGCTCTGAGTTCTAGGACAGCTGTGGTGGGGCTATCGATCGGTGATGGGCGAGCGGGTCGATATCTGGGGCAGCAAAGCTGCAGGCCTATCGATTGGCGCTTTTTGCGAGCCCAATTTAAAGGCTTTAGTGGTAGGAGGGCTTAGACGGTCGAGGTGTAGTTAAAAGTAATTTTTGACATTAGTTCACCGCTATTTTTGTGCCAAGAAGGAGGGCAACAGATGGTCCTCTCCCTATTTCTCATGCTTGTGAGGGACAATTAACGCCAGCTGTTCTCCTAATGAAGAAATGCGAGTGATTTTCCAAATGGACTCAAAACCGTATCCCAATTTGGATTTATCTTTGAATGGAAGGTGAAAAAAGAGGAAAAATTGAGATTTTGAAATGTCTGGTGAGAAAGTGAATTCGAGGTGGGCATTTTATGTAGCTGAGAGGAAGCGATCGCATGAGGAGGGCGCTATCAAGGCTTACGGACCACAAAGACCCATGGAAATTGTAAATGATGTAGAGGTATGGACACGCACACGCATTTACCGAATAACGATGTCAGGAGTGACAAGCCGGCAGCATGAGATGGGGGCTGAAATCATTCCCACTCGCCAAATTGCCATAGAGGATGTTCCTTACTTTAAGGAATTCTGTTGTCCAGCTAGCTGGACGTCTACGAGGTGCATTGAGGTTGGTAAGTAAATAGCTTCTCTATGCTGGAAAGGAGCCATCATCGTAAAGGCCTTAACCCCCTTTCTTCCTCCAGAGATCGTGTTCAACTCTCTTGGCTGTACTTATGACTCTCGAGGCAGTGGGAGAGATAATGACAGGAAGTGCTAAAGGGCAATGTTTGCAGAATGACGCTATTTTTCTTTTATACTATTTCGCGGGTGTTTGAAGTCCCCGGTGAGTCATCCGCCGCGCCGGTGACATGTGGCTCGGCCGCCGGTCGCATCGCCGAACGCCTCCACCGCCCCACCCGCATCCGCCACCGACTGTTAATAGTCGGGTCACCACCGCCAAGGCTGCAGGGCATAATTATGCTTACCGAGGTGGTAAATTAATGCCTATTTGCTGATGCCTCACACATTTCGGCCATTTATAGCCTTCCTGATAAGGAGAGAACCACATCTGGCAGTAAAAATGAAGCAAGTCAGTAGAAGATCTGCCTTCGATACTTACGAGGTAGGAGCTTGGCCATTTGGTGTATTTTTTTGGTGAATAAGCTTGCTCGTTTATTGGGTTGATTGATGGATGATCGGTTAGACACAAAATGGATGAATGGATGGATCCATAATGGATGGGTTTATCTAGGATGGATGGATCCAGAATGGGTGGATGGTTGAATAAATGGAAAGATCCAGGATGGATGAATGGGCACGGCTGGGATGGATGCTGTTTTTTTTTTTTTTCATTTTCTTCTACGCGTTGACAAATGCCTCCAACACTGAGGGTCATCGCCTTGCCAAAGCTATCTACCCACCCTCGTTTTCCACTCAGGGGCAACAAATTTTAAGAGCCCTGAATGTAAATACAGGCGGGTCGTCCCCCTCCTCCCCCTTATCTTTTATTATTTACAGATAAATTCTATTTTAGGCAGCCTACTTGTGTTATGACTCGACCATTGTCTCTGCTCCACCCCGCCCTCCACCCCACTGTCCCTCCCTTCGCCCCTATAGAATGGCCTTGTGATCGCTGCGCTTGCAGAGATCAAAGGGAGGACTAATCTCTCCACCATCGCGTAAACAATGTAATGTGGACCACCTTCAGGTTTGTATAAGGTTTGGGCGCTTTTCTTTAAAAGATTAAGTAAAACGAGCTCTTTCCTCCTCCTCCTC